CTGTTAAATCATATAGAGTACTATAATTTTTTTCATCATAAGTTTAAAGAATCTTTGTTTCATTAGAAGATTATTAGATGCCACAACTTATTTTTATTACTTTATTTTGTAGATGAAAATGACAGCTTTGAGTTTGGTCACTTGTTTCTAAGACCCTTTTAGTGCTACTTTAGGGCTACATAATAGCATATATTAAAGAATATTGATACGTACGTAGGAATTTGTTTAAAATACCAAATTGAGAACTTTAGCTTTTGTTTCCTTTTACTTTTACAGTAAGGCAAAAGAGAATGAAAGAAGTAGATAATCTTGAAAGTATAAAAGAAGAATGGTAAGTTAATTCAAACTCTGAATTTCTTTGTTAGTATCTTTCTCTATTTTTATTGCATTTTCCTGGCAGAGATAGTAAAGTAAGTTTTAAATATGTATGACTACCCCAGTAAATACCTAATAGTAATATATGTCTAGGGTTTTTTTTTTCCTCACCATAGTTGCACTGAACAGATTTTAGTGAAGTTAATGAATCTTTTTGGTTATTAATAAACGGTGCTTACAAAGTACAATGGTGCATGTCTGTAGACCTAGCTACTCAGGAGGCTGAGGTAGGAAGATCGCTTGAGCCCAAGAGTTCAAGCCCAGCCTAGGCAATGTAGCAAGATGCTGTCTCTTAAAAAAACAAAAACACACACACAAAACTCCAAAACGTAAACTAAAAATGCAGTGTTAAATTTCTCTCTGTTCATACATTACTTCTGTTATTTAAGTGAGAAATTTATGTAACTACCTCCCTATCTTCTTATGTTGTACTATTTTGGAGTCATAGTAGAAATATAGTGGCTTTGGAGTCAAATAAATCTAGGCTTGAATCCCATCTATGCCTTGTATTCTCTCTGGCCATTGAGCAACTTAGGTAGATTCTTTGAGCTTCAATATCTCATCTATAAGGGGATATAAATACCCATACACGAAAGATTTTTGTGAGAATTACATAGCAAACAGAAAGCACTTAGCATAGTATTAGCACATATTGGGCACTCAGTAAGTGTTAGGTCAGTTGAACAATAATTGCCTGAAGCTGAGAACCCATCCTTTTAAAGCTCTGTATTTCTGCAAATGTTCAGGGAAATTTGGATATTAAGACAAGAAGGTCGGCCGGGCGTGGTGGCTCACGCCTGTAATCCTAGCACTCTGGGAGGCCGAGGCGGGCAGATCGTTTGAGCTCAGAAGTTCGAGACCAGCCTGAGCAAGAGCGAGACCCCGTCTCTACTAAAAATAGAAAGAAATTATCTGGACAACTAAA